CCGCTGGGCTAATGGCGCCCAGGTGGGGAGCCCGCAGGCGGCACCGTGGGCCGGAGGAGCTGTGACCGTGATACTTGAGAAAATGGTGCTTTTTCTTCTGCTGCCAAATTTTTAACTGCTGCCCTGGGGAGTCGGTAAAACCCTCCCAGGATGAGAAGCAAAATTCCCCCTGTGCCAGTGTAGCTCTTTTCAGAGCAGGGCTGCACCCTGACTGCAATCTGAGCTGCGGAGCACCGCATCCCACCTGCTAAAGAGCTATCCCTGTCCGCTGCGGCCGTTTGTCTGTCTGCAAACACCTCTCCCGCCTGGCGGTTTCAATCCCTTTGCAGTCCTCAGCTGCTGGGCTGGGTCGCTTCACCTTCCAGCGTGGAGCTGGCTGATTTGGGGCATGGAGGAAGGGATTGTTACGCATAGCTGGCGGGTTTGTAAGGCCCTCTGAGGGGAGAGGAGCGTTCGGAGTGGGAGAAAATTATTGTTCCTGGTTTCACACTCAGCTGAGTTTCCATTCCACGCATTCCTCGTTACTCACTCTCTCTTAATCACTGCAGATGTTGACATCAGATACAGACTCACGAAGCGGAGGTTATTGAGAACATGACTTATGCTTGAAGAAATTCCTCCCAGAATATTTCAAGTTTCTGACTTTCGACTATATTTGGTGGTGGAGCGAGGAGAAGCTTTTCCGCATCTCCAGGGCTCGGCGATGAGGGACCGCCCTGGGTAGCTCGGGCTGAGGCTGGTGCGCTGGGAACACACTTGGGAGCAAAGTCACCAACTTTGTGTTTCTCTCAGGAGTTTTACTAACAGGAAATTGCAGTGTCAAGTGTTCAGCTGGCAACACTAACCGCATCCAGCATTCCCAGACTCTGAAATCCCTCTTCTTTCTGTAAACACGGTCTTCTGAAACTCTTATCAACCAATTCCGGCGTACCCTGGCAGTGCCTGCACAGCCCCTACGCTCGCTGGAGCCTGTTCTCTCGCACCCACTCGTGTGATGGTGCCATGGTTAACTAATGGGGCATGAGCTGGTTTTCCCATTACAGATATTCCAGGTGTTTATTGCTTACTGGAAAAAAAAAAATATTCCTGAAAGAGACCAAGCATATGAAAATTTTGTCTTCTAGGAGGATGAAACTTTCAGTTTGAAAACAGCATTGCATGTGACTGACAGTGTGAGGGCAGGGGTTGATGCAGGGCTTCATAAAAGGACAGGAAAAATTCTCCTGATGCCCCAAATACCTTCCCAGACCTCTCCAAGCTGGGAGAAATTAAGCTCTGAAATGTTCTTTCCATCCCACAGAAATTTCCATCATATTAAAAATGTTCCTTTTTCTATGCTGAGATGAATTGAGACCTCCCGGAGCTTCCCTGGATGCCGGAGAGGGGACCTGAGTGAGGGTGAGCCACAGCTCAGCTGCTCAGGCACCCTCCAAGCTGGGGAGAGCCTGGTTCGGACCCCACAGTGCCTGGAGCAGCAGCAGCCCCTCATGCCAGGGCACACAGGGGTGTCTCAGCATGGTTTGCCAATATCTCGTCCTTCTCGGGGCTCGCAGGGTGCCCTGCATCTCTCCCGCGGAAACGGGGTTTGCTCCCGGAGCCGTGTGTACCCCAGCCCTGCAGTCAATGCACAGGGATGCGTTTCGGCAGTCAACACCAGCAGACGTGTTCGCTCTCCCGTGTCATTCCTCTTTATTTCATTTCCTTGAACATTTTTCATTAAAAATATAAGCGCTTTTCTAAAATTAAACCCAAATGACCGACCACGGAAGCGCTCATCCCAAGGGACTAAGCCACACGGGGGGGGGCAGGACCCTTCGCATCCCCCCGGCACGCCGCGTGCGTCACCAGGAACAACCCCCGTCTCGGCAGCGGGACGTCACCTCGCAGCCCTCTCCCCTGCCACCCCATTTCCCTCCTTCACCCCGCTCGGCCGTGCCTGCTCAGCCCCCTCTGCAGCGCCGGCGCCGATTCCGCGTGGGTCCTTGCTCCGCCTTGGGCAGCTCTTTGCTCGCAGAGGGTTAACGCTTTTCCAGAAGGCTCCGAGGGAGACGGACCAGGCGGCGGCTGCGGAAGAGAAAGGAGATGCTTGTCTGAGCTGGGCCCGAGAGCTGCGGGAGACCCAGAGATGGTGACGGGTGGGAATGGCAGCGTGTGCGAGCACAGGCAGCGGCAGCAGCACCCCTTCGCCCTGCCTGGGGGGCAGAGGTGCTGGGACTCCCCCCTTTGCCTCCTTTAAAATGATGCAACCGGGATCACTTCTTGCTTCTCCCCTGAGCGGTTTTATTTCTCTCCCTCACGGGAACAAAAGCCACAAGTTTGTGCTGCAGAGAGCAGCTTTTCCAAAGGGGAAGGGGCTGATAAACCCGGCAGGGAGAAACCAGCAGCTGCACAATAGCCGGTGCACGTTTCAGCGGGCGAGATGGCCTGATTTATAAAATAAACCCTGGTGCCCTCCTTCCAGCCCTGAGCAGGAAACAGCTGCGCTGGTGCTGTCAGCTCGGCTGCCTCGGCCGGGCAGAGGGAGCAGCAGCCAAAGACAACAGCGTTGAAAACAAAACTATCCCCTCTCCCCCCCTCCACAGACACGTTTCTTCCCAGAAATTAAAGCCTGGTGGGACGAGGAGCCGCCGGCTCACCTGGATGATGCTTTGATTGCAAGGCTGATGCTGAGCCGCATCTTCCCCAGCATCGCTCTAGAGCATGTAAATGATGTAGGAGAGGATCACCAGGCCGATGATGGCAAAAAACATCAGGATGAAAATATCCAGCATGGTGAGCGAGGAGCCGGTGGGGCAGGAGCTGCCGGGCTCCCCGTGGCGTGGAAAGGGGACGCTCGGCAGAGAGCCGCCGCTTGGCTCGCCAGCCCCCGCCGGAGCACGGCTCGCTCTGCTCAGGATGGAGAGATGATGCCGGAGCTGACGGAGCTGCCTTCCAGCAAGCAGGCAGAAAATAAAGGGATAAACACCGGCGGTCAGATGGGGCTTCAGCCTCGCATGGGCGGAGGAGCGCTCGCTCAGCCCAGACCTGCGAGCGGGGCTCCCGGGAGGCACCATCTGCCTGCGGGAGCGTTGCTTTGCCCCTGCTTTTTCCTACCCAAACTGCTGCCCAGTTTATGGGGGTGCTTAACGTGATGCAACCCCCCGTTTGCAGCTGGGAAAGGGCCCATCCTACAGGGAAAACAGCAAAAATGAGCTTTGGACATTGCAAAGCCGTGTTGATCAGCCGGGACCGCTCTGAACTCTCACCTTTCGGAGTCTGGTACTCCTGGGGTACTGCAGCATCCTTTGCTTTCAGTGTCACGCCACCTGCTTCAGTACAGTTTAAAGCAATACAGTCTTAAGTGAGCAGCAGCAGCCATGGAGCCTTTCTGTTTTAGTATTTTTGGCTAGTGCTGTTGATGCAAATAACGTCCTTCTCCACACACCTTCAAGATTTTCTTTTCCCACTGCTAAGCACTGTAGTTGTTGAAAATCCCACCTTAGGAGGCTGTAGTGGCCAAGCTAAGCCGTCGCCAGCTGCTCTCTGAGCATGAGGGCTGGCTGGGGGCTGGAGGACCCGGCTGTCGCAGGGCCGCGTTCCCAGAGAGGTCGGGCAAAGCCGGGACCTGGTGCCCGTGCTGCGCTGTCCACAGCAAAGGCTGACCATTTCCCTGGGTGGGTCTGGTCTCCAGAGCAGCCACCAGCACACCTAAACCCCAGCAGATCCCAGACCCACGCTGTAACCGGCGTTTGGCCTCTGACAGCAAGACCCCGAAGCAGGTCAGCAAGCGGGGAGGCATCGCCTTGCACCCCGCTCTCTGCGAGGGTTTCTCCAACCTGGCTCATGGCTGAATTTCGAGGCTGATTTCCTGGGGATCCGTGGTACCCGGCAGCCGCAGCACATCGGCCGGACACGCTGCAGCAGGGCTCCGAACGCCTCAAGCGCGCCCCTTGGCTTCAAGCCATGCCAAAAGCAAGGGACGAGCCACGAAGCTGCATCCCAGGTCGGCTCCCAGGGATGCCGGCGTTTCCCACTCCCAGGGGAGCCAGGCAGAGATGAGGACCCCGGCTCCGGCAGCCTCCCCCAGCCCTGAAGATCCTCACCGTGTCCCAAGGGAGCAGGAAAATGGCCAGAAAAGCAACCGCAATCAAAGCCAGCACAATCGGCAGGTAAAAATTATATTTTTATTTTTAATTCGAGTAAACCGGGAAGAGAATCGGTTGGTTTGTTCCATTCGATGGTTCGGTTAAAAAGGCCAAATAGTTTTTTATTGGTGGGTGCTCAACCCGACGGGAAGGAGTATACAAGGACAAACCCCAATCAAGCGACGGATCCAGAAGAAAACACGTTCTAAGCTCAGCACTGAGACGCAACCGGGGAAGCTGGGATGGACGAGGTCTATTTTACACGTGATGAGAAGCAATTTAGCTTTTAATTTTTTTTTTTTTTACTATTTTATTTATTTATTTATTTTAAATACAGGTTTAGGTGCTTTTTCAGCTATGAAAAAAGGCAAAAAAGTGCATAAGTCGAGAGAAAAGGCAGAAATCAAGCAGTAAGAGATTTGTTTCCCATGGCAGGGGAGAAGGGGCAGGGCGTGGGAGGGGAGAATTAGGACAATGGTTTCAAGGTAGCATTAAAAAAAGGTTTGTATACGAAAACGTAATTGCCTGTGTTATTTGGTCCATTAAAAAACAGTTTATTCACATTGATACTCCCCCCCATTCCCAGACAAGAACGTGATTAAGAAGAGGATTAGCAAGGAGATGTGGACTCTCCCCCTGCCCAGCTGCCCCCTCTCCCCTGCTCTTGTGCTCGCTTGTTTTAGCACCAACCGGGATTCTCATCCCGTAAAGCCCATCCCGGCTGCTTCTGGGGTCCCGGTTTCACCCCGAGGGGATGACGGTGCCACGAGTCCCGGTCCCTCTCCCCGCTCCCATTGCAGCCGGCTGGGGAATGAGCCAGGAGCAAAACGCTCCCCTCTCCCCAGCTCACGTCCTCCCGGTGGGTCTCTGCCCTGCCACGACCCCGCTCCCCGCCAGAACAGCATTTGCTCCAGCAGCCCCCGACTCCGGTCACCCCAACCCCGGCACCGTCCACGAACCAGCCCTGCAGCCCCCGTGTGCTTTGAGAAAGGGGACTGCAAGCGCGAGGCGGCGGGATCCTCTCCCCCCTCTGCGAGACTGTCCCCAAGGACGTGTCCCCAAGGACGTGTCCCCCAAGAGAGCCACGGAATGTCTCAACTCAGCCGCTTTGGTCCCTAGATTCCCTCTTTTCCTTTGGGAATAGCAAAGGTGGCAGCTTCCTCTTGGAAGCATCCTGGCCCCGCGGCGCAGCGCATCCCAAGCCCTGAGCAGCCCGGCAAGGGGACGGTCTCCTCTGGCTGCCCGGTCTCCATGGCCCGGGCTGAGCCGGGGCTGTGAGTGGGCACGGGACAGCGGGAGCGCCGGAGGCAGTGCACGGGCATCACCACTGCCCCGATGCTCGGCTTCTCTGACTCGGGAGAAAAGCATCCTGCTCCTGCCCTCCCCGCACAGGCTTCCAGTTATACCTGCCCCTGTCCAGCTCCAGGACCTTCGGAGCCCAAAAGAGAAGGGGACAGGGACGTGCTTTGAGATTTTGGTCCGTGACGTGATCCCAAGTCAGCGGTGGCCCCAGAAGTTACCACCGCTGGGGACCCACGAGAGGTGCAGGGTGGCTCGGGGTGCCAAACCCCGGTCTCTGCCACTCAAGACCGAGCTACTGGAGGGGACAGTCACCCAGGACAGGCCCCAGCGTGGTGGCAGAGGGGGAGGATCTTTCACACGCGGCTCAGAAGAGGCACAGGGATGGGGGCTGATCCTGCCGGCTCCCCAGACGTTCTACACAGCGGGTGAAGGGCTCAGGAGGGTCCCGAAAGCCCTGCAAGCAGCAAGAGAAAAGCAGGAAGATTCTGGGTGAATCCAGGGAGCGACCACTGCTAAGAGAGGAAGGGCTGCCCCGGCACACGGGGCCCAGGGGACCCCCAGACCCTGGCCCAAAAAGAGAAAGCCGGAGCTGCAGGGGGGGACGTGAGGGCTCGGTGTCACAGTGCTCCCCTCCAGCGCAGAGGAGCGGGGAGCCTGGCCCATCTCCAGCCCTCGAGTGGGAGCAGCAGCCTCCAGGCGAAGCAAGGCTGCGGCTACTCCTTTACCTGTGCCAGCACAGCCCCGGCTCGGCCCCGGAGGGATCAGGGAGGCAGAACAAAACAGCCAGAGCCCAAGGCAGAAGCAGCAAGAGCCGCTTCCAGGGCTGTCCAGAGCAGCCGCTCTGAAACCCAAGGAGAAAGAAAGATTTTGTTTAAGGATTTTAACTGCAAATGTTTTTCTGTTCTGAGGACTGAAGGGAGCAAAGACTGAATGGAAACACTGCACGGAGGAGCTGGGAGAAACAACAGCACAAGCCCAGAGCAGTGCAGGGCGGAGGCTGCCAGCCCATCCCTCCCGTCAGCCCAGGGCAGCCCTGGGGACGAGCATCCCTCATCTCCTCCACGCAGACATTGCTGCTCCTCTGCCCGTCCCCACCAGAGGGGGGTGGAATATGGTCCTAACAGATGGTCTCCTCCTCCCTTTACCGGGTCCCAGCAACTCCGGCTGTTTCCCCCAGCCAGGGAATGCCGGAGCACCTGGGAGGGCTAGAGAGGAGGGAGACCGAAGGAGAAGGAAAGCTGCGGCCATTTGCTCTCTAGAGCCCCCAACGTCCCTTGCAGACAGTCCCTCAGTCCCGACAGAGCTAGAAGAAAGCTAAGTTGGCAAGAGAAACCAGAGGCGGCTGCAGAAACAGAGTAACCGAGACGTCAGGACACGGCTCCGGCAGGCGACGGCAGAGCACACGGGATAAGGGATGCTGGGGCAGAGAGAGAGACGTACACACACACACACACACACACACGGGGGCCGGCGTGGGCTGGGGGCTCGGCTGTCAGCCACGCACCCCGTCCCCTCCCGTGGCTCAGATGGCCTCCACATAGTTGGCGGGGAGCATGCCCGTGTCGCCCGTGCGCTCCACCGTGCCGTACATCCATCCGTCATCGATCTGCTGCACGTTGATGATGGTGTCGCCGTCCTGGAAGGAGACCTCATCTTCGTCAGCCGCGTTGTAATCGTAGACGGCACGGAAACGCTTCTGTGGGGAGAGAGAGGTCAGCAGGCATGGACCCTGCCCGTGCCCTGCCCCAGATGGGCAGAGCTGCCACCCACAGGGGGGTCCCGGGGCAAGGAGCCCCACCGAGCCCCACACAAGAGCCAGATCCAGGAGGTTTTCACCCGACGCAGGGATGCTGGTGCCAGCGATAGCTGTGGCAAGCAGAAACCAGGCACCCAGCATTACACCCACCAGCCCCTTCAAAACTGCTCTTCCCTTACGTGGTCTGCAGGAGTGGGGAGCAAGTGGAGCAAACCCTAACCCCCGGGGGGTGGAAACCGGGGGGCTGGTGTTGGGGTGGGCGCTGTGAGCCCTTGGGCTGTACTCACCCCCCCTCCAGAAGGAGCATTGCGCTGTGTAGAGGCTGGTGCTGCGGGCTCCTTGTAGCCGTAGGACTGAGACGACGGCTGCTGCTGCTGGTAGACTGGGGGGGGAAAAGATGGGCCCGTTAGCTGGAGCTGGGACATGGGGACACGCAAAGCCCCTCACAAAGAAGAGCCGGCTGCTGCCCCAGCAAGCGCAGGGCCATGCAGCGGGGCAGGCTGCAATGCCCGCAGCCCCCCGGCTTACCTGGGTTGCTGGGTTGGACGTGATGAGACGGCTGATGCTGCTGCTCTGCGGGTCTCCGGTAATTGGTGCTCTCCTGGGAGTTCCTGCGCTCCAGCTCAGCACCCTCGCTGGGACTCGGGCCCATCCTGCTCCTCTCAAACTCTTCGTGGTATTTTATCTACAGCGACAGGAGAGGAAGGAGAGGTCAGAGCACAGCTGGGACAGCTCTGCAGCGCCAGCCACGAGGCTGAGCCCAGACCCCAGCAATGGCAGCAGCTCCTGCAGCCCTTCAGTGCCAGCAACATCCTTCACCTCGTCCCAGCTCATTTCTTTTTGCCACCAAGAACGCAGCACTAGCCATCTCACAGCCTCCCCAGCAGTCCCAGGGGGCTTCTTCCCCACCCATCTCCCCAGGGACATTTGCTCAGACCCATTTGTGGCACAGAAAGGAGGAGGTTTAAGTGTCCTGTGGGTGGGATACGCAATTTTTTCAGGCATGGGTGAGATTCAAGACCAGGCTCCCAAGCCCACAGGCTGCAGGAGCACGGAGCAAAAGCACCTTTAGGAAGTCTCCCCTACACGTGCCAAGTTTGGTGTGCAACTCCCCAGCCCACGGCCAGGTACAGCGGGCGCCGTGGAGGTACCGCTCCAACATCTACCCCCAGATTTCTCTTTAACTGAAGCGTGAGAGGGCTTCGGGGTTTTTCATTGAAGGAGGCTCAAAGCAGATACCACCAAACACACCAGCTGCATCGGACCGAGCCTTCCCCTGCAGCCAGCACAGAGAGGGCCCCCGCCTCCAGCAGGCAGGAGGGAAGGGTTAACCCAACTGCCGGTGCGTGGGTGTAAAAATTAATAGCCACTTGTGTTAATGAATGCATTGCCATCGGAAAGCACCTGGAGCCCATTTGTCTGCTGGTTAAACAGTTATTTACTGAAGGGCACTACAGCAGGCTCCCTGCACAGGCAGGAGACAGGGCCTGGAGCAGAGCCGCCCCCCTGGGAAGGAGAACACCCCGAGGGGAGCACCCTGCTCCCCCGGCCACTGCAGGGAGCCCAAGCAGGGACGACCTCAGGACAGCATTTCCCGACGGTCAGAGGCTCAGGCTTTGCGCTCCATTGTGCATGTCCATGTGCAGGACCGTACCGGCATCCTCCACCGAGGGTGGTTTGGGGCACCTCTGTGCCGCGGAGGTGTTCACACCCCAGCGAGCGCTGCCGTGCTGGGCAGCCCCCTTTGCTGCCCATGTGCCTGCCCAGCACACCCCTGGGAGTGAAACGCTGCCTGCTGAGCCAGGCTTTCTGCAGGGAATGGGTCTGTTTCTGCATCTTTATTAAGTGGGTCACTGCAACCACAGGCTGGCAGCCAGATTGCCCACGGGGAAGCTGCTGAAAACTGCTCCCGTGGCAGAGAGAGGGTGAAGGGGGCAGAGCAGAGGGACACAGGCTGGTCTCATCTCTCTGCTGTGTTATTTAATACCCCCAAACCTCCACAAATTCTCTCAAAAAAAAAAAAGAGTGGTGCTTTCCGTAACAAAGACCGCAGCCCCACTCCATGGCAGGGAAGCTGTGCCCATCTCCTGCCAGCTCAGACCCCACTGAGAAGCTGCCCCCAGGGAAAATCTTCCAGCCAGGTCCGTTTCCCAAGCGGGAAGCCTTCCCCAGCCTTTGCTGTCCCAGGGTTTGGTGTGCAGATAACATCCCGCAGCTCCCGAAGGAGAGATCAGTACTTGCCAGAGAACTGCACAATGGGATCAGAAGAAGAGGGAATAAACAACCTCCTCCCGCCCTGCTGGGCATTCTCCTGTTTGTGTATGCGTGGGAGCTCCTGCGTGTGTGTGAGCTCCCACTGCGGGTGCAGGCACGGTCCTCCCTCTCCCTGCATTCCTGTAAGCCCAGACCCTCTTTCCCTGGACACCCCAGGGAAGCAGACAGCAGCTCCCAAGCCAGGGGCTTTGTCCCCGAGGTAGGGATGCTTAAGGGTGGAAAAGCTCTGGGACAGGCTTTTACGACGTCTCGCATCACCTCGGCTGTAGGGGCTCGGGCTCACACCCCTGCAGCACCCCAGAGCATCGGGTTTTTCTCCCCCCGGCACTGCCCAGGGCTCAGCCGGCGAGAGCAGCTCAGGGCACTGCAGAGCTCAGAGCTGGGAGAAGCTCACAGAAGCCGCCTGCCAAGTGGACGCCCAAGAGTTTTCTCATGCAAAGCTGCGCTCCAGGGGCGGGTTTACTGGTCAGGGAGAAATCAGCCTTCCCAGCCCTGCCGGGGTTTTCCAACAGCTCCTGGGCTGTTTGATAAGGAGCACTCATGACTTTCACTAGCGGCTAAAGGTTAATTAACTCCCTGCGTTCTGCTGAGGGCAGAGGCTACTGCGGGCTCCCCTGTGCCACGACGCCTGGGAGCGCGGGGTCGAGTTTGGGCAGGGGACAGATAGACCCCACGTCTGCCGCACCCAGTGCTGCAGCTATACGTGCAAGTGTGCATCCTCCTCCTTCACCATAGCAACACACAGACGTCCACGTCTGCCACGTACCACACCACCAGCACCTGGACATGGACGGAGGCCGCTGGGTGAAGCACAAGCTGCCAGGCCAGCTGCCACTGAACTTGGACATGGTTTTAATGTAATATTTGGAAATGGAAGAGCTGGGTCTCTTGCAGACACAGGACAGAGCTCCCCTTCCAGAAGGTCAAAGGAGGACAGAGATGCTGCTGTGCCCAGCCCCTAGGAACCCCTTCATCTCAGCATCGAGGCAGGAGGGAAGCTGTGCATGGCCAAGGGACCTTGAGGATCTCCCTGCAAGGCTGCTCTGGTGCAGCGGCCACCGCAAGATGTGGGCTGTAGATAAGGAAAGGGGATGACACTGCCTGTCCTACCCTCGGGGCTGGTGACAGCAGGTGGTGGGACCCTGGGGACTGCGCGCAGCCTCGGCACAAACCAACAGCAGCAGCTGCAGCAAACACTCCCGACAGCCGGATGGCTGGAAAGGGCTTTGCAGGAGTCAGAGGAGGGGTCAAGGCAAGCGGAGCCTGGCAGAGGACAGTCACAGCTGCAAAGGGACAGGAGGAAGAGGTGTGCCTTTGGCCGGGGTTTCCACACACAAACACAAGCCAGAGAGCACAAGAGGGACTGGAGTCCCGCAGGGGGAGCAGCGTGGGGCTGGCGCCAGCAAGCCCGGACCCCACAGCACCACCCCCGCTGTGGGTTATGGTGACAACCAGGGGCAGACGGGACTGCCCCGGTCCACATCTGCCCCCACCGAATGCCACTCTCTGCTGCTCCCCTCCTTGCTTCTCACAATCAACGTGGACTTGAGCACCTCGGGAGAAGCGAAGGACTCCGATACCCCTCTGGATCCGGCTGCAGCATCTGCCAGCACGGAGGAGCCGGGAAAGGTGCAAGAGGGTCACAGGATGCCCAGGCAAACGGGTTGGAGAATTAACGCTGCCAGGCTTTCAAGATGCTGCAGCCTCACATGCCTGTTAGCAGCCGTCAGAGCACGGGTCCGCGCGGGCAGAGCCCCCCCCCAGCCTCCTCCGGCGGGAGGAAGGTCACGACAATATCACACGCAGAGATTAGAAGCTACTCACGTTGCTGATCTGATCCTGAGTCTTTTTGATTCTCTGCAGCTCCGGGGTGTCAGCCACCACGCTGAAGCCTTTCCCCTTGTTCTTCTCAAACTCCTCCTTGTAGCGAATCTGGGTACAAGCAACAAAAACCAGATTTAGACTCATGTGCTTCATGAGATGCAGCAGCTTTCTAACAGGGCCTCTGCCTTGCTCGGGAGACCCCCCCCAGTGTATCCAGTAATAGCAAAATGGGGTATTGCCAAGAGCTGAAACACACAAACAGCTTCCTTTGCATCTGCTGATCTTGTTTCTCTTTCAGCAGGGGCTGGGTAACTCGGATTTACTTTGAATTTCCTGTGGGCTACCAGTGCGCCCAAGTCACGTAACACGGAGCAGCTGACCCATGGCAAGCTGCCTGCTTGAGAGCCCCGAGGATTTTATGAGCTACACCCGTACAAGAGCATTTCCACGTCAGGGGACATTTCGCCGCCTCTGGGAAGGAATATACCCAGGAAGACCATAACGAAACCAGAGGGTGGAGGGTGGAGGCTGGCAAAACTCAAGCATCCTCGTTTCTGTTTGCCAGACACTGATGCCCCATTTTCATGGTGGGGGGGAGAAGATGTGCAGAGAGACACCCTGACCTCCTCCATCCTCTCCAGGCTGGCAACTCAAGCATCCTCGTTTCTGTTTGCCAGACACTGATGCCCCATTTTCATGGTGGGGGGGAGAAGATGTGCAGAGAGACACCCTGACCTCCTCCATCCTCTCCGCGAGGATCTGGCCCTGCACCGATGGCTGTCAGGAGCTGCCTTTGCCCATTTGGGGAGGAAAGAGCCTTAAGGGGCTCTGTCTTGTCGCAGCCTACAAACGTGCAGGCAAAGCTGCCCTTCCCAGGGATTCACCTCCCCGGAGCTCGCCTTGTGCACTGCGGACAGTTGTATGTTGTCACTAAAATGAAAAGGTCACCACTGACTCTCACGCAAGGAGATTAAACCTCTGGGCCCCTGTGCAACCGGCACGGACAGACACAGCAGCCTGGCTCTGTGTGTGCAACGTGGGGCCGATGCTCACCCCCTCCGGCTGGTGGGAGGCTGCAGGCAGGGGACAGAGGTGCCGGCGGTGGGAGAAGCAGAGCAGGAGCCGCTTTTGATGGAGCGGGATGGGAGTGCAGCCGATGCATCGCTCCCTCCCGCTGCAGGAGCGGGGAAATGCTCACCCAAGCACAGGGGCCAGACACCGGCATGTCTGGCCAGCACAGGCAGCTTCCCGTAACCCTTCCCGTCCCGCTGCCTGCCAGACAGATGGTTGGGAAGCCGGGCTGGCCCCGCAAAGAGCTTGCAGGATGAGGGTTGTGCTTGCAGATCGGCACCGCACTCACGTGCCGTGCCAAGATAAAGCTCGGAGGCAGAGAACTGGCAGCACGGCAGGGGAGGTGGGATAAAGCTGATTTCTCCCCCAGCACACACTCCTACGGAGACGCTCCTTCAGACCTCACATATTTGCCTCCCATCCAGACAGCGCATCCAGCTGGGCCTGGAAACACCTTTCAGAAAAGGCTGCCAAACATTTCATAACATCTTCTGGAGAAGCCAAGACACACCTCTGCTGCCATCTGGGCTCTCCCATGGCCTTGCCTGGCTCCAGCGCGGGACCTGGCACAGCAGGCAGGGGCAGGCAGAATCTGATGTGCCCAGGTCAGACCCCTCCAGTGCTGGAGCCAGCCAGGGCTGCGGGCATGCAGCACATCACGGAGCAGGTCCTGCCCCCTCTCTGGTCCAGAACGACACAGGAAACAAGAGATTTCCAGGGGAAAATGAGACACGGCGGTTTCCATTTTGCACGGGATGCAGGCTCAGGCCAGCTCTGTGCATCCCACCCCCCAGCTGGCCCTGCCAGGAGGCTGTGCTGGCTCAGGGGCCACAGTGCCCGCGGCTGGAGCCGGGGGGGATGCCAGACACCAGCTCTGCAATGGGCACCGCCAGGCACACAGGAGCGCACCGCTGGCTGCGTGGGTTAGTGGCGCAGATACCCCAGAGCTCGGTGCTCTGCTTGCAAACACAACATTTCCTCTTCCTATCCTGCAAACCAGGAGAAACGCAAGCTTTGAAAGCATGTCAGAGCCCCTACCTCTTTTTCAGCCATGGGGCAGATAGTGATATCACAGAAACCCTTAGACGGTACGATCTCTGAGTCACGTTAGATTTCTAACCCTAATGCGGTATTAGAAAGCAAAGGCTTAATGAACCAGGCTGCAGAGTCCACCCTGGGAGGATATTAATACAACCAAGATGCCAAAGCACATCAGAAGAACACGAGAGACCCATTTCAAGGCAGAAGTCTCCTTTTGTTTGAAGCAATAAGAGAAAAAACTTTTGCTAGCTGGGTTAAAGAATGTACCTTGAACATCACCGATTAGGAAGGAGCAGGCTCGAGGTGTTAACCGTCGGGCATGAGGAACCAAAGGTTAACAGAGCTGTGACATAAAACCTATGACACACACCCAGACAGGGGATCAGGAGGGGGTGAGTCAGCCCCACGAGCTGCTCTGAAAAGCACCAGCCCCAGTTTGCTCAGCCGCAGCGACAGGCGGGCAGAGGGGTTGTGTTTGTCCTTTATCTGCTCCGTTTTCAATAAAGGCTGTTTTCCTTCAGAGCTCTGCAGCCTGGGCACGGGATGCTGGCCCCGCCATTGTGCTTGGAGATGCTGCTCGGAAGAAGAGGGTTTATCCCGCAGCCTCCTGCTCAGCCGGCCCCGAGGAGGGGGGCACCGGGTGCCAGCGCCGGCTGCAAATGCACAAGTTGACGAGCTTTAAAGAAATGCAGGCTAGAAAGTCACCAAGCAAGAAGCTAATCACAAGGCTAAGCAGTTCCTTTGACAAGTTCTGTATTTTTACCCTCCTAAATCCCGCCCCCCTCCATCTTCCTTGATTTTTTACCCCCTAACTTTCAGGGTACAGGAACCCGGCCCTAAAAAACTGCCGTACAGGGGTGCCTGACTGCAGGGGGGACCCGATCCAGGAGTTGTGGGGGAAGATGCTCGTGCCTGGGGGCAGATCTAACCCAAAACACATGTCCAAGGCTGGTGCTCCCAGCTAGCTGGGGTTCCCGCACCCCAGCATGCCTGGCCATGGAAATTGGAGCATGGCACGAGCGTCAGGGCGACGCTGGGAGGAAGCAGGGGAGGCCACCAGGCAGGCACTGTCCCCGTGCTCAGCACGGGGGAATTGCAACTTAACAGGATCCACGGCCCTTCCTGGCTTTGGCACAGGAGCGGCCGGGTCCTGCCGGGCTGCAGCCATCGCCAGGGCTGAGCGAGAAGGCCGGAAAGGAGGGAGGAAGCGTTCAGACAAGGCGCTTTTCAGCTTCTCCCTGCCCTTATATAGGCACCGGGTTGTGCAGGCAGGAGTCTGGCCGCAGCGCTGGGTGGGGAGAGGTGACCTGCGACCCCCGGCCACGGAGGAATCCCACTTGCAGCACAGGCTGCCCTCAGAGAGGCAGGAATCCTTGCTCCAGCCACGCTCCTGGGGTCCTGCTCCCTTTGCTCCCTCGGAAACTCGAGTGCAGGTGACCCTGGGTGATAAGGAGGGACAGAAACGCACGGTTCGGTACGTCCCGTCATGCTTTCACAGGGCACGTGAGCACCGCTGGGAACCAGCTCAGCGCTGTGCAAGGAGCTGCAGAGAGCCATCACTCCTGCCCCTCCCGCCACGCCTGCCGACCCACAGACCCGCTCCTGTTGCTCTGGCTTGTAGCTGCCTTTCATCCACACGCTGTATTAAAGAGCAGAGTCATGCAGACAGTGCCGTATTCACACCTCATCCTATAATAATAATAATAATAAAATGGGATCCACAATTAATTTCCCCAGAGGAATTGTTCCCTCCATGATAGGAAGGAGAGCGACAACGCGTGCATCTGTGCATTATCCGAAGGGAGCCGGAGAACGGCCCTTCACATATTATAAACCTTTGCAGGTCTCAGCTCAAGCACATTAAACCCTCCTTGTGCCCACGTCCTCGATGTCACCGACAGCAGCTCCCCGAGGTGACAGACGCAGGGCTGCAGGAAGGACAGGAGACAGGTACCTGCCTCCCACGCCACGGGAGCCTCCACCCTCCGGCAGGAAGGGCTGCACCCAAAAACACCCATTTTAAGAGTTTGAAAAAGGAGCCACAGGACGGGAACCTGCAATTTTCTTGCCGCACGTGGGCTGTAAGAGAAGGCTGCAGGCGTAAAAGCTGTCACTTTGGAGACTCATTTAGCCACACAAGACACCATTATCCAGCATCTACCAGTGACCGGAACAGAAGACGCCTTCTCAGCAGACACAAATAGTGGAGGCATCAGGATTGACATGAAACCGCTCCAGCCCCGCACGCAGCTGCCCCATCCCCACCTCCCCGCGCATGGCACGGCCGCCAGCAGCAGCTCCGGCGAACCACCGGCTTTTCCAGTCACACCGGGGTGGACAGGGAGTGTATTTTTGGTGGGAGAAAATATAGGATCAGCCTCCTCAGGGTCGCCTACAAGGACAGCAGCTCTCCAGCCCCACAGGAGCCCAGTTCCAGAGGAACGGGCAAAACTGCTGGGGAGCATGGCTCCCATTGCCCAGGAATGAACCTCCATCAGTTAGAAATCCCTTGCAGAGGACACGGACTCAGCGATCTCCCTTCTCCTATTGCAGCTTCCAGCTGCTCCCAGCCACAGCTTCTCCAGAGGGACACGCAGTCGGGGAAGCCTCGCACCGAGGACCAAAGGTTCGGCCACAGCTGAGTTTGGCTGGCAAAGGCAAGCTTGAAGGCAAGATGCAACTGTTCACATAACCCTGATCTTACTCCACAAGGAATTTTACTACTAGACCCATGACACTGTCCCAGCAGCGTCAGCCAGGATGCACTTTTTAGGTGGCACCTGAACTGGCAAACTGTAGTGCAGAAGCCCTTTCTGCCAGGCTGTCATCACAGCACAGCGGAGCCAGCGAGCCCTTCGCCACAAGCCTTTCCCCGTCTCAGCTAACAGCTCCAGTTCATCCAGTTAATTTGCAAGACTGTGAACCCTGCTGCCTGCTCTGGAAGGGCTGAAGTGACCTATTCCCGTCCCCAGGGGTTTGCTCAGCTCCTGCAATTAGTAAGAAGGGACTGTCAATAAACCAGAGGGCTGCTAGTGTTTTAGCTAGAGTGCTTCAAGAAAAATCCAAATGTTTGGCGCTTGGAAAATAGGAGACTCCCTTTGTAGGCAGAACAAAGGCAGAGAGGAATTAAGATCTTATCTGAAGTGTGTTTAGTATCTATCCTCCCCAGGGCTCCTGGCGCTTCAGCCTGGCAGTATCCACCTGGTTCAGCTATGCCACCTCCCTCCCACTGCTCCTGCATCCCTCCCCGGCCCCTCTCCGCAGGGGCTCTGCCAGCACCCAAACAGCCAGCACCTCCCCAGCAGCCTCTTCTCCCTCCCGCTCAGAGAAGTCCTACTTTGCAGCTCATCCTGGTGTGAAACCAGCACTGAAAAGGTGGGGTGCTGGTGCCTGGCAGACTGGAAGACCCTGCCCCAGCCCCTCTTCTGCCCCAGCCCCTCTTCTGACATGTTCACGTGCAACCAAGAGCGCAGAAAGCTCTTACAGCTCTGTGCTATCCCAGCTCCAGCCCCCAAAGTCCAGGAGACCACCAGGAGCTGGGCATGGCTGCTTCTCTCCCAGGGACAGAGGTCCTGCTGGCGTTTGAGTTGTAGTGACCAGCTTCTGGAGGTGCAGGCTCGATTGTATGAAGACACCCCCTTCCCCTGGAAGGCAGCTGGCTCTGCCTTCAGCCACCTCCCGCACACCACAAGGAGCTGAAAGTCCCAACCAGCTACAGAAAAGCCCAGGCAGCGGAGCACGCTCCCTCCCCAGGGTCTCCTTTAATAAGCAACAACTAATGAAGAGCCTGAATTCATTTTAAGAACAGCGCTGGAGACTCCAGACCGCTCGGTACAGCATTATCTCGATTGTTACCATGGAAAAGCAACTGTGTCCCCTTAACCACTCTATGAAACACAAAGCCAGCCCCAGGCTGAGCTCTAGCTCTAAGCTTGAGCCAAGCTGCGCTTGTGCAAGCCAGGGAGCTGTTGGGCAACTTGCTCTGAGGAAGAGACCTTACAAAAGGCGAGGTTTCAAAACTCGATGCTGCCTGCACGGGCACCACCAGCCCTGTCTGCTAACAGGTGAGGTCCTGAGGTTCCCCCTCCTCCGGCGGGATGCATTCCCAGGCAATCTGCTTTCCAGCTCCCGGCACTCTCAGGCTAATGGGAAGAGAAGGAGGGAAGGTCACAGTATCCTTCACAGCACAGCAGGGAGAGGAGCGCACTGATCCCGAAAAATGACTGCTCACCCTGAATACACCACTACGGCAAATCCTGTGCTGTCCTCCCTCTGCCCAGGACCAACACTGCTACAACGCTGAGCTGAGCCAACGTGCCTTGCTGACAACACTCCGGGCAGTCTTTTTGCCCCTTTTCAAAGGGAAAAAGAAATTAAATAGATTCCCAGAACAGTTGCCACATCCTGTGTTCTCCTGCGAGACGCTGACTCAAGCCCAAATTGCCTCTGGATGCATTTTCTTCCAGTGCAGCGTACTCTGAGCACACGTCTGCAGTTCTGTGACATCGAAGCTCACGACAACGGTTCTTGGCATCGTCTCAGGACGCTTCAACACAGCCTCTCAGCAGAGCAAAGCCCCACAAAGAAGGGTCACCCACCAAAGCTGCCCGTTTCTGTGCTGTTTCTCCGCAAAATTGATGCTCACATTTCTGTTCTCGGTGTTTTAGAGTAAGAGAAGGAAACTAGGGATTGCTCCTTGGCCCACCCAAGGGACCAAGAGCCAAGCAGTTCCCACTGCATCATCAGGAGATACTGGTGCGAGAACCCAGCCCACAGCTGTGCGTCAAGGCTGGGGACTTTTGCTGATCCAGGGACGCCTTCAGGGAATAAAACAGGACACGTCTGGACAACACCCTTCTCAAACAGGCTCTTCTCTTCCCACTAGAGAAAGAAATCCTTATCTGTGCCAGTCGTTATCCCTTCTATCTGTTTATTTCTGCTTGCCAGAGCTTTCAAGCCCTACAAGGTTTGGGTTTACCTGAAATACTCGCCTAGAGAGTCAACGCCTGTCCAGATGAGACCGTTTGCCATTTCACCCGATTACGTTGCTGGATGGGAGCAGGGAAAAGATAAGCTGGTGCAAGGCATGGACTGGGAGCGGCGGACTGCCTGCTGGACCCCTCCCGCCTCCGGGAGGTCACAGCAGCCAGGGATGAAGGGAAGAGCAAACAGCTGAGACGGGCGAAAACCTCAGAGGAGGGACCCACGCCCCAAACCCGCCTCTCCCTCCTTTGTGCGAGGGCGTAGGAAAGCACCAGAGCACGGGAGAACGTAGGGCGATGGGGCAAAGTACGGCGGCCCCGGGCGAGGAGAGACCCGCGCGCTCACCTGGCTCTGAAGCTCGCTCTGCTGCTTTAGACGCAGGTTCTCAGGAGTGTCTGCCACCATAGTGAAGGACTGCTTCGGGTAGTGTCTGGGGAGAGAAGGGAGATCGTTAGTCACGGTGTTCCTACGGGCCACGACCACGCTTGCTGCCCTCTCCCACCCAACCCACGACCAGCAGCCCCCTGCAAGTACCAGGAGATCCAAGCGCTGCGGCCCCGCTCCAGAGCATCACGGCGAGCAGCAGCAGCACAACCAGGGCTGCAGACACGTCAAGGCGCAGGTTTAGCAGCAGCCATTTGGGATGGCGGCATTTCTCACCGCGCACGCTCACCTGCGCCTGACACCTTCCCCAGCAGACACACATTTCTCACTGGGTTCTCTCCCAGTCTCAATATATTAACTTCAGCTAAACTCCAGTTTTATCGAAAAAGAGGAATGGCAGGTTTTTTCCCCAGGGGACAAAGCCATTCAAGGTTTATGCCTGATTTCTGGAGAGACCTTAACGCATCTTCAATTTTTCATTAAACAGTCCTCAGGGTAACATTAGTCCAAGTAAATGCTGCTAACGCTCGGGTTTACGACTGTGCCCGTTTCACTGTTCCAGCTGTAGAGGGTCAGATGGGAGCAGGGTGGTTTTACTTGCTTATTTTACCGAAGTTTCAGCCACACAAGCCTCATGCTACGGTTTTCTGGTACTGCAGGGTATCACGACCCTGGCACAGACCACGTCAACGTAACCGTGCCCGTCTTGGGGCAGAGGCTGCACTACTTATCTGCACCAGTTCAACAAGTTTAGTGAATCCTCGGGACTTGCCTGGAATGGGAGTGTGAAGCAGGAGACCTCTGTCATGGTCTGGCTACAAGCCAGCAGCTATTGTTCTGAAGTGCCATATAGCAGTTTCTGAAAGCGCATGCAGTCTTTCCTACGGACAACATAAACTAACAGCTAGAAGAACTCAGGTAGCGGCAGAAAGTAAATATCTAATCCTAAAGCTGGAGGCTGCTACAAGCCCCGTCCAAGCAGACGGGTGAACTTCACGTGGCCATTCCCACCTCCAGGAGACACGGAAAATGGCAAGAGGCAACCCGCTGCCCTAACAGGGGAGGTTCAGTGTGCCAGCACCTCCAGCTGGGCTTGACCAGACCCCGATGGCAGTTACTACTAGTCTCTCACGCTGCCAAGAAGCGGCGGGGTCAGTCCCAACGGCATGATGCTTTACCACTCAGGACCCAGTGCTGAGCCTTCACTTGGGGTCAGCTATGCCCTGCATCACAGAGGATGCTCTCGCCCATGGCCAGATCCAGTCCTGGCAGCCAGCCTCGCTGTATCTGGAGGGCTACAAGTGGTGCAGAGGAAACTGTTTGCAAGAGGAACGTTTCCAGACTGCTCAGCTCTGGCCGCCGTGGAGGCAAAGCCCTCCGTGCAGGCAAAGCCCTCCGTGCACAACGCTCCCCAGGAAATGCCCAGAGAGGAAATCTGACACTGAACAGATGGTAACTGCTCCCATGGGATGGCAAAGAAACCGAAGACATTCCACGGCAGCACTTTGGGTTTATAATGCAGATAGCAGAGAGCAAAAAGGGGAAAACTGCCTTTTGAAAGTGTCGGAGGTTTCTCTTTCACAAGAGTTAAAGCAGGACTCCCAAATTCAGTGGCAGAAAGATTGCAGGATTTTAGGAAAGTTTCTGCCTAGCACAGGAGAGCGGTTGGGCGGCAGAGACGGCACCATTACCACCCCTGGTTCACGCTGAACACGTGTGGCATCAGGGCAGCACGGCAGCGTGTCATGCTGCAGCACAGTTTCACTTTCAAATACACACAAGAACTTGGATAATTCTCTTGCAAAGCCAGGCAATCCGACTGTCCTCCCACTGTAGCAGCTCTCCAAAAAGGTGACCAGGGCTAAGCAGTCCCCTGAAAACCGCCTGCAGCTCCTCGCAGGGGACGACTGGGAGGTCTCACTCACTCTCGGGGATCCGAAGGCTTTGAGCGCAATGCTGATCCCAGTTTCAGGGCTATAACTCAGACTGTGCAGCCTCCAGTTCCCCCATCTCCATCCATGTAGCCCAACCGGTGGCTGAACCAAGCTCTCACCTGAGGGCTACGCAGCAAACTATGGGATAGCTGCAGCTCCTGTCCCTTCGCAGACCACATGAAATGGGTCTTTGTGGGTCTTAAGAAGCCCCCGGGCTGTGCTTTGCGAGCTTGTTTGGTCCAGCATTAGCAATTATCTATTTACAGAATCAGTATTAGCACCTCTGCCGAAGGCTAATCAAAGTGTAGTCAAAGGAGGGTGAACGAGCAGAAAGCCAGCTGCATGTGGAGCAATCTGGTTGAAAGCTGCTGCCTTAGAGCAGTGCTACTGGAGCAGGACAGCAACAGATAGGCAACCACAGACCTGCAAGAACAGCACATACCTCAGTAAAGCAGCAACGCAGGAAACTAGAGAATAAAAATAGCTGCCTCAGCCTCACTGAAAAAATAAAGAGAACCCCCTACACACACAGAGAAACCAAACAATGCAGATGTGGTTTGCAAAAAGGGGAAAATACAACTCAGCAAGCAGCAGCTCGCTGCCTGCTCCCCTCCCCAGCCCTGCAGTGCACAGCATGGCAGGGGAACCTACCCTCCCCAGCCTGCAGTGCACAGCATGGCAGGGGAACCTACCCTCCAGCCAGCTTCTCCC